AAAAAAAAAAAACAGCAGCAATGTATGATCAAAAACAGCACAAAAATAGATATAAAAAGTTTCACATATCTACTGCCAATGCCTTTGTTTTGCGTTATTCCTTACCAGAATCCTCTGGAGGCGGTAGCCTCATGGTTAGTGAGCACGTCTCCGGATCGAGCGGTCCGGGTTCGAGCCCTGGCCGGGGACATTGTGTTGTGTTCTTAGGCAAGGCACTTTACTCTCACAGTGCCTCTCTCCAGCCAGGTGTATAAATGGGTATCGGTGAATTTAATGCTGGGGGTTAACCCTGCAATGTACTAGCATCCCATTCAGGGACAAGTAGAAATACTCCTTGTCGCTTCATGCTGCGGAAATCCTGCCTAATGTGCCACTTGGCTCGCATTTAGATTTAACTTTACCTTTACCGTACCAGAATCCTACAGCTGTGGATCCTGACCAACAGTCCTCTAGCAACACAGCGTCTGGTGATTCCAGGACCTATGTACCTCCAAGCAGTGGAGACTATATGCCTCTTCATCCTTCAGCACGAAGTTGGGAAATTAACCGAGAACAGGTCAAAATATTAAAAGTCGTTGGTAAAGGAGCTTTTTCTCAGGTTGCCAAGGCAACAGCGTGGAGCATAAGGGACAACGAGGATTACACAACGGTTGCTGTCAAAATGTTAAAAGGTTGAAATTGAAATTGTGAACTATCGAAATGTTTGATCGAAGTCTGAAGCAAGATTACTTGTCGATACTGTTTTCTTTTTTCTTTTTGTAGCGAATGCTCCAGAATCAGACAGAAGGGACTTGCTGTCAGAACTTGAATTGATGAAGAAACTGAAACCTCATCCTCACGTGATCAAGCTGATGGGATGTGTTACTGCATCTGGTAAAATACAGATTAAACATAACTGACAATACACGTATACATCCAGCTGTAAGGCTAGTGGCCAGATCACAGCGGCTGGTAATCGAGCCTACCAGAACTTTAGTCTTCAGCGTAGCCGTTTCCAGAACAACAAAACAAACAGGCTGATAATATTTTATTATCTTACAAAGGCAGCTGAATGACAAATAAAGGCAATTGCAAGAATATGATAAGCTATTATCGTCATGTTTTTTTTCGACTTCAGTAGAATTACGTCATCCATATCCCTCAGGTATTTCAATCATAGAACTAATGGCTACCAGAGATCAAAAGCAGTTTCCATTGCATCTGTTTCTCCGCATCCCTCTTGCTAAGCTTGTCAGCGTTTGCTGATACTTTTCTTTTTAATTTCTGTTCCTTTCCCATTTTTCCATAGATCCACTTCTTGTTCTTATTGAATATGTGCCGTACGGTGACCTGCTGGGATACTTGAGGAAAAGTCGTGGGCTCAACGACACGTACTTTAAAGACCCAGACGTGAAACCACAAACCAGTCTGACCGCTGAACAGTTAATGAGGTTCACATGGCAAGTTGCTGATGGAATGCTTTATTTGTCCTCAAGAAAGGTTTGGTTGCTATGTGATATTTTCAACTTTATTATTCATCTAGTTAACTTTAACTTTTTCTCTTTCTCATGGTTAGTGCGCTCGCCTGGGATCAAACGGTCCGGGTTCGAACCCTGGCCGGGGACCTTGGGTTGTGTTTTTGGGCAAGACACTTTACTCTCACAGCGCTTCTCTCCACCCAGGTGTATAAATGGGTTTTGGCGCTGGGGGTAACCCTGCGATGAACTAGCATCCCATCCAGGAGGGAGTAGAATTACTCCTAGTCGCTTCATGCTACAGATACCGGAGATAAGCATCAGCCTGATGGGCCATTTGGCTCGTATGTAGACTTAACCTTATTGCTTTACTCCCTCCCTGAAGCCTTTTGAATTTCCTTAAGAGCAAAGAAGAAAGCGTTAAGCATAACTCTCTTTCAGATAATCCATCGTGACTTGGCGGCCAGAAATGTTCTTGTTGGTGAGGGAGAGAAATGTAAAGTGACAGATTTTGGGATGGCGAGGAATGTTCAGCAGGATGATATCTACACCAAACAAAGTCGGGTGAGAGTTCATGAGTTACAGCGTCGTTCCTCCACAAGTCTTAAATAGAATATTTGTATTTTCTTTTTATTGCTCTTATTTTTTGAACAGGGTCGTCTGCCTGTTAAGTGGACTGCTTATGAAGCTTTGTTATATGGAACATACACAACACAAAGTGACGTGTAAGTATTAGAGGTGTACAAAGTCCTGGGTTAGTAAGTTGACAGTTATTTTATCGCTTATTGTAGAGAACGTTGACGGAAATCTCACGCTCGCTTGATTAGGACAAGTTGTAAAGAAATTACTTACCACGTCAACTTCAAGAATGTTTATTAGTATTTGTTCCTCGTGGATTGTAAGTTTATATAGCGAACCTCTTTTCTCGCAGCTGGAGCTATGGTGTTCTACTGTACGAGATCCTCACTGTTGGTAAGGTGTTTAATAAAAATATTTTCATTTCTTTTTACGTTTCGAACCAAATCCAAAAATAAATTTAGAATGCTAGGTGGAAGATTGCGTCACGTGACGTGATTACACTAATCGTGTCTAAGGAAAAAACGTGGTAAATTCTGATGTCCGCTTGTACAACCCAAGGTGTGACTGTTGGCAAACATACAGTCTAAACGGTACTTTGTATCGTCAAACACAGTCATCAATAACTGAATTGTGAGCCTGAGTTTTCTAGGGAAGAATATGAGACTCTCCCTTGTGGAAACGGAGGGTGAGTATAGGTTCAATAAATAGTGGTTATAGCGTACATGCAAACATGCAACGCATATCAGTTTTTCCTATAAGGAAGTATTTTATTTCAATGTTATGCATGATAGAAATATCGCTTTGTCTCATCTACTAGGTGGATCTCCGTATCCGGGAATTAATGCTCGGCAAATCGCCAGGAAACTGCAAGATGGATTCAGAATGCCAAAACCAAAACATGTGGATAACAAACTGTAAACAAATGAGTTTATTTCGTCTCTCATTATTTTAGTGTGTAGTATCAATGTATATTGTTAAGAGCCCTGCTATATTTTAAGCGAGCCAACAAAGTGAAAGTTCCTGATTGTTGCTTACTGCCTCCTTCGATTTTTGTTAGCACTGCCTAAGTAATAGCTCAAAGTGCCCGAATGGGCTAGACGTATGGTTCTATACCACACGTGTAGTGCAGTTATAATGGTAGAAACACCGAATCAGTTACTCCGGACATGTTTGGTTTTGATGACGAATTGCCCAAAGTCATGCTGATAAAGAGACTTTTTTGCCAGGTCAGCATTCGATCATTTTTATTTTCAAGTTGATGGCTAGAAACCAAGAACCGATTAGTTGTGTAAAACTCTTAATGACACCACTACATTGCTATGGTAACACACATGTCCGTTCACCAAAACTCCATGAAGTATCAATCATTTAAATTTAGGATGAAATGCTCTTGCAAGCCACCTAATAATATGTAAATCTTTTATTTATTAGATACCAGATTATGCTCAAGTGTTGGGAAGAAAATCCAAGTGATCGACCAACCTTCGCCAAGCTAAAAGACACGATGAAAGAAATGGAGAGAAACCACAGGGTAATGCATCTGAAGATACAAGCCTTGAAACGAGAACCGAAATTTGTTATTCTCTTTTATTCTAATTTTGTTTTGCCTGTTTTGTTTGTTTGTTTGTTTGTTTTTGTCATTTTATTTTACTTTATTTCATTTATTTATTTATTTATTTATTTATTTATTTGCTATTCTTCTTGGTATTAAGTTGGTAACAGTTAGCAAGAGTGATAAGTTTCTTTTGTAAAGGACTGATAACTAATAACATTATTAAATGTTTTCTTTTCACAGACTTACGTCAACCTGAAACAGTATGATAACAGTTTGTACGCAAATGTTGAGGACCTTACAGCTGAATGATAGTTTTTCCTGCTTACTTTGTACCGTGTTATTCCTAGTTTAAGACCCGCTTTTTATAAGTTTATTAATCTGGTGAGTGCAGCTACCTTATCCAAGAAGTATGACCACTGACATGCAGCTTGGGGGAAGATTTAGAAGCCGTGACGAGGGCCCATAAAGACTTCCCTTTCCTTCCAAACACATGCCCGGTTATAATCCCACTCAGAAACAGTGCGAATTGCATTCACTGGTTTTAAAACCGAGATTTTTCAGCAGCCTTTTCCCGTTGATATTATCTTCTTTCTGAATGTCGAATATTTGGATGTCTTTTTTACTCTGAAGCTGAGTGGTTGCACACTACTGGATAAGGCCGTTTTCAATATTGGATTCAAGTAATTTTGACCCTGGATAATTTAATTCTAGAGTAGATACGTTGATCATTTATGACATTTTGTACACGAAAGTCGATCATGTTAAGACCTGGTCTCTAAACGCTTTTAGCCATTTTCAATTGCACTGTGATGGTTCCAGGTTTTTTCATACAAAAAATGGATGCTTGGAAAATCGCTTGAGCGATTAAATCATGTTTTAGCAAGAAGTTTCAGCCAAGTGTTCTAGCCTAGATTTTGAATTATCTTTATATTTGATAAATTATCTTTATATTTTTCTGACTCGTTAGTAATCCTGCCTGTCAATGGTTGTGCTCCATCCCATAATTTCACACGCGTCTAGAAATTACTTCAAAACGAGTCAAACAGTTTCGCTATATTCAAAACTGAGATGCCTGCTGACACGGCCTGCATTTGTATTATTTAGCTGGTTATCCCATACGCTATTAACAGGAGCCCATCACTAGGAGCGTGCAAGTGCCCCATTCCCCAAAATTTACCCTGAAATTTTGATCAAATAAAAAATTCCCGAGACGCCGGTATGCTGTTCTTGTAAATTGAATTTTTCCGCGTGTTGAAAATCAGAGGAAAAATATCCTCTCGTCGCCCTGTCGTCGGCATATGTACATGCGTAGCGTGCGTATATTTAACAAATAGAGTCCATGTTGCCGTGCGTCTGTTCAGTAATAGATAACAGATGACGTCAAAATGTGGTAAGAACAAAAAAGTGGCACACGAGGCGATAGCCATGTGTGTTACTGATGTTCTTACCACATTTTGACGTCTTCTGTGATCTATTCTTGAACAGACTCACGGCAACATGGAATCTATTTGTTTTATATGATAAAGAAACAAACTACTACGGAAAAAGCTTTCTATTTCAAAATCTCTCAACATAACTCGAAAGCCGGCCTTTGTCCACTTTGGCAAAAACGAAAAAGGCCAGTTGACGAAATCAATTGCCTATACAAAATGAAGCAATTTCATTGGTTACTATGTGTAGCAAAGAATTGTGATTGGTCCAGGAAAATCACTCCACTATCAAACTTGACTCGAAAGTCGCTTCTCGTGGAATAAAAACTTGCAGCGAAAGCAGAATTGTGCTGCGAAATCTGCAAATCTTAAAGAAAATGCTAGAAAAGTCGAGTCAGTTTTCGTCATCAGAGCAGCCCTGTGAGCCGAAAACCTTGGAGGTTACCTTGAACATTGCAGGAGTTGAAAAAATACGCTCAGAAAACTTGCGGCTGTGGTCAACACTGGAGGCCATTCGATTCGAGTTTTGAATGAAAAGAGCGTTCGTGACGGTGGAAATTTGTTTCCTCTGTGGTTGGTGATTCTCAAATCAGTTTGATATAGTGTTTGAGACACCTTATGGCTGCGAAACAGTTGGCCGTGAGCTGTAGTGAGCTATACTTTGCTCGCTGCTGTGCCCTGAAACGGACTGGAACATTCGGGTCAGAAAGCATGGTTATGTGTTTAGTTTAATTAATTTCAAGAAATTATGTTTTGAAGTCTCATTCCTGACACCAATCTGTGTGAACAAGTATTTTGAGACTGAGAATTTTTTAACTAAATTAATGTCATAAACATTTTGGTTATTGGGTTTGTTAAATTTGAGACAAAGCAATGGTTTCGTACCTTGAAATAATTTCAAGACCAATTTTGTGTTTGGTTTAGTCTTGCTCGGCTGCCGACCGAGACTGCTCGAGTATTTTTTCTGAGTCACTTTCTACAGAGGAAACGCTTTTTCTTTCTTCTTCCTTCTTCTCGTACCTGTTCAATGCCTCGACAAGACTTTTTTGTACTTTATCTTTTGCCCAGTCACGTAAAATATTGTCTAAATTCTCAAAACGCTCCGCCATTTTAAAACACAGAGGGAAAGACTTTGTAATGATGACGTCAATCGTGCGTCTGCCCTCTAACAGATCATAGGCGAGAATCCATCAAAATGCAGAATAATTTGGTTTATTATATAACGAGTTACAGATTCACGCGGGAAGTTTGGAGAGCACGAGAGAAGCGTAAGAGTTGCTGGTAGCGGAGCAGAGAGCAAATCTAGCTCCAAACTTCCCAAGAGCATCCATAACTCGATATACGCACAGCTAAAGGCGTGAACCAATTGTTTTATAACATAGCGACAACAACTTGGGCACTAAAACATGTTTTATTTGTGACTGACTACAAACTCCTCACAATGTACGGCAAATGAAACCGAAGGATCCTATTGCCTGGTTAAAAACACGTAAGGCACAATCAGTTAAGCGACAGTTGAACCAAAACTCTTCATCCTAAGCCTGTCAATAAAAAATTCGCTTATATAGGCAAACAAAGTGAAAAACACTCAATGAAAATGTAGACGAATAAAGTCAAAATCATGCTCAAGTTTTAGTAAACACTGCAGGTTGGCCAAAGGCAAAGGCTCGAAGTAGGGTTTGGATTGTTCAGAATGATGTTCACAACGCCGAACCTTTAACAAACGGAACTTGCACTAAACCTGACGGAAATTTTGCAGCTAAAATGAAACTGCACACGTCATGTTAT